AATCACTCTCTTCAAGTAGAGATTAGATTGGATGCTTTATTGACTTATGCTTCACAAGTTGAAGCAATCGCCTCAGGATTATGTTTGCCTGAGCAACTGTCTTTTTTCAAAAAAATAAAAATAAAAATAAAAATATGCGTGTTAATGATAGAGACTACAGGCAAGCAACTTGGGTCCTTAAGCAAGTTGTGAAGCTTCTCTTTCTGATTTGAAAGATCATGTAAAGTGGGATTGTTAATTTTAATGCATTAATCAAGAAAAAGTTCACTTTTAGTTCACAATAGTTTCAACAGTCTTACTAGATATTGAAGGAAAAGAGAGACCAATCTATGCAAGTCATAAGGTAATTAAAATGATGTGGAAGTTTGATCAGTGGAAACTTCGCCAGACATATAGCTGAGTGAAGTATAAAATCGAGTAAATTTAAGTGCAAAGATGTTGAGATACAAATGTAGCCGTCTCCTTATTAGCGTACAGTGAATGGAGATAATTGTTATGTTAAGAGTACGAGGGATCCAACAATTAGTTACTTATTTTTTGTTCAAGTTCTGAGGTTAAGTTCGTAGAACATCGATGTGTTATCTACTGGACCTACATCATTTTTGTTCGTTCAGGTCCTAGACTTAGGACATTAAAGAGATAGCAGGATTCCCAGTTGCAAAGTAGTAGTATCTAGTCATTTGCAGATTTGTCATGGGTAATGAGGTTCTTGACTATCTTCATTTCCATGTCCAGATTCTGAAAAGAATAAGGTTGCCATGGACATCGTTAATTGCCTACTAACTCGTTGTAGCTGGCTGAATATGCATATCGTTCCACCTCATGGCGTCGTGTTTGAGATAAGGATTAAGGACGGTTATGGTGCACGATGGTCTGCAGATGGAACTAAGGTATGTTTGTAAAGGTCTAATTTACTTTGTCCTAATGAAGATAAAGACTCGGGTAATTCACATCAAAATATTTAGTAGAAACTGAATGATATCATGTGATTTGCAGTTCATAGGATTTCTCGAGCCATACATGGATGATGGTCACTCAAAGGGCTGGAAGCATTAGTTGACTTTAGTTAGTGGTCATTGCTTCCCTTGAGAGTTTTCTCTGCATTTTGTTGTAAACAAATCATTCTGTATACTTTGAAGTATTACTCGAATCAACGACTCCATTGTTGATGGGTTATTAGTTTGTTCAGAAGAAAGTTTGTCCATGTTTGGTTTATATATATATATATATATGAAAGTTAAATTCGACAATTAATTTTAATCTGGTATTTCATAGAACTCACAATTTTTATTCGCTTTTCCATCAGACATTTCTGCAACTTTTATTAAAATTTACTAAAAATATGATTTTTAGCAAAATTAAGTAGACTTAATGTTTCTCTCGAAGGTGTATAGAGATTTTACTTAATTTGGATAAGATGTGGGATTGTGAACATCATCCTCCGCTCAGCATGACATATAATTTTGTGTCGATTGATTTAGTCTAATTACTTTTCTCAACTCAATTATAGAGTTAAAGTACTAGTTGACATTCAAGTGAAAATAATTACGATTAGATTGTTACCAACCAAAAAATGAAAATTACAGTAATCAACGTGCATAGTCTAGATAAGCCTTGGATAAAGTAAAAATGATGTCAATTATATTAAATGGCGGTCAGGTGTTAAATCATTATGTATATTTACACTATCATCTTATCTCCACAAACATTGACGTCTACTTTCGTAAATATGATGTATGTTCATTTTGAAAATTAAAGTTTGTCGATTTAAAGTGAGCATCCCAAATGGATTCTATATATGTTATTAAAGTTGGAAGGCCTGCTTTAACTTTTCTGTGCAACACGACGCTATGAAACACAAGATGACATCTAACATGTATTGCAAGACTTGAGCTATAATAATAAATATACTAGAGAGAGAGAGAGAGAGAGAGAGAGAGAGAGAGAGAATTGTTCAATGATTGGAAAGGAAACAGAAACTTTGCACTTGTCTTCTTGTGTATTTCCTTGTGCGGAATAAATTGTATTTTAAGAATGTAAATTTGGCTCCTTGGTTCGGAAGGTCCATGGTTCGATTGGAAAAAAGTTCGTGCTGGCCCAGCTCGTGGCTCGGAAGAACCGAGCTTCACCTCGGGCCGAGCCCCATTTTGGAGCTTCGGCTCGAGCTCATGCCAACCCATGTGACTCCCACACAGGTAGCCCGTAATGAGCCGAGAATTTTAAAAAAATAATAATAAATTACATAAGGCCTTCGCCCGTTAAGGCAAAAAAAAAAAAAGAGAGAGAGAGAGAGAGAGAGAGAGAGAGAGAGTCGGCTCGGCTTGAGTGGAGCTCAGATTTTTTGTTAGAGCAAAAGCTTGACTCGACTAGAGCCAAAAAAAAGCTCGATGAGTTTTTGCTCGTGTCGAACCCGAACTTTGATTTTCGGCTCAGGTCGTTGCTCGTGGAAATAACTAAACAAAATTACTCTCAAGGTCAATTATAAGAATTTTTTTATCACGATATCTACTGAAATAATTGCTAATAGAATCATAGTGCTGACGGTTCGAAAAAAGAAAAGAAATTAAACTACACGTGTTAAGTTTCCATAAAGTTGTGGCTATTTATCCAAAAAAATAAAAAATAAAAAATAAAAAAATCCATGAATATATACTCTTATTACTAGAAAATTGTCGTGTCTCGTATAAGTACAAATAATCTAACTATATTGTTCTGTCCTATATATAAGTACAAGAATGTTGTAGCTCAAGAAAATATATATAGTCTATGAGAATATTTTTGTAAAACTTGAATTAGGTGCATTTTGGGCAAGCTTGAGAAATTTATTTATAAGTTTATTTTATATATGAATAAATTTTTAGGTAGTAAGAGTTGAAATAAGTAAAACAAACTTTTAACTTTAAATTAGATTTTAATTTAACTTAAAGTCAAACAATCATTATTAATCACAATTTTTATGGGTCCCACAACTTTTCGATCACACATTTAATAAACTTTTATAAAAATTTATTAAAAATATAATTTTAATTCATATCAAACAGGGACTTAGTGTAAAGATAAATTACTATTTTTACTAATTCTAGTAGAAATATCTTTTTATCTACAAGTTTTATTCATAGCCTCTCAAATTCTTCGTGTGGACATACCTAATAACTCTTCAAAATAAGCAAGAAATCTAAGAAATGGTGAGAGTATTCATGTCAAGTTGTAAAACTCGAGCAACGTAGATAGAAATTAACAAGAAATAAAAGATATAAATATATAAAAATAATCTACTAAGCACCGATATTAGCTATTGTTACTTTTTAAGATCTCACGTTAGCTTTAATTTCTAAATAAATATGTTACTTAATATGAATAGAGCTCTGGATATGCCTCGTCAGGTGAATTGCCATCAATTTTATCAAATTGTTTTTAAATTTTTCTGTCACGACAATGATTAGGTGGCATATTTACCTCGTAATGCAAGAAACATCGTATTGCCATTAATTTATAACGTCCATGTACCAACGTTAATGTTAATGACTAGGGTTAAAATTGATACTAACATTGACAGAATTGAAATCCAATAATCTGATTGAGATAAATTTAAATTGATTTATTCAATTGAGATTTCTTTAACAACCAAAAAATGAAATTAATCCTAAGGTGTATGTATTATATGGCATGATGACATAAGCAAACATTAATTAATTGAAAAATATTCCATTATATAAAGTTAATTTGTAGTCGGAAGGCCATCATTACATAAATTAATAAAAAAATTATTATAATATATACGTTGATGATTAGAGATTTTTATCAGCTACCATTAATTAATTGAAAAATATTCCATTATATAAAATATATATATTAGAGATATTATATAATTATTAGTAAAAGACTGCAACGTCGACGTAACGAATTTGACCTATTTGTTGACGTTGCTTCTCAAAAAAAAAAAAAAAAACTATATATATATATATATAAAATTATATAATTATTTAAATTAGTTAATAAGTTTCAAATTATAGATTTTGAAATAACTTTATTTCTGCACTTCGTGGCTAGGAAATTGTACCCAACAAGAACTTGTTAGATTGTGAATTAACCTTACCTAAATGGGATACTTGTAATATTATACATAGATATATTGAACTCAATAAAATTTGACATTTACCTTTTGTCTTCTTTATGAGAACTTGTTAGATATTTGTTCGAACTATTAAAGAAATAATATTATTTATTTTTATCCTCATAACCTTTATTGTGCAGACCTAATTTATTCTTTATGTTAAAATATAATTGTGTTATGAATGGACTAAGAGTTTGGAACTCCCTCCGTTCCAATTATATAGGCTTATTTCATTTTTCACATGGATTAAGAATTCTTCGTTAATGTCATTGGAAAATTAATTTTTGCCAATTTCTTTCCTAGTTTACTTCTATTTAATTTTTAATATGTAGTAGTAAATTATTGTTGGAATTAGTAAAGAATTTGAATATTTTAATTTGAAAAAGAAGAAATGAGAATTGTTTCATATTTTCAAGAAGTGGAAATGTGTGTATTTGGATTATTTAAACAAGTTGGCATATTAAGTGGGAAAATTAAATAAGGATATATTAGTAAAGGAACAAAATAAAATATTCTAAATTAGAAAACATGCCTATATATTTGCGACAAGAGAAAAAGGAAATTCAGCATATATAATTGGGACGGAGGAAGTATAACACTAAACGATCAATTTTTATTTTTATTTTTTCTAAATTTCAATTGACGTAGAGAATAAATTTGTTCGTTTATTTATATTTTCAACACTATAACGTTTATATTAAATTTCTTTGTTATTTTCTTAGTAGTATTCTTTTTCCTTGAGAGTGCCAATACGAATTTTTACGTCATTAATTTGTCATAGCACCAACACGGTGTGTGGAGAACAGTATTCTGCTGTTAATTGGATTGGATCATATCATGTCTTGTAATTACATATGTTAATTTTTTTTTTCTTTAATAAACTCAAAAAATAAATACATAATTAAACCTCACTGACAAGGACCTCAATTATAAAATCTACTCAAACTGGCCTTCTAATTCCTAAGTTCTTATTTAGGTTTTTTTCTCATATTTGATGGATAGAACTAATTCTGTCAGTTCAAAAGAAGCTGCCTTCTTACATGTTACAAACCCTCAAAACAATGGTATTCACCTAGAAATGCAAGGTACCAATTGTAGACAGCCTCAAAACAGCAACATAACTGGACTCCGGTCACCGGATTCCGGGGAGAATTCAGATGGAAAGTGGGCATCAAGGTTGCTTATAGAGTGTGCCACAGCCATGTCTGAGAAGGACTCTACTAAGATCCATCACCTCTTATGGATGTTGAATGAACTTGCATCTCCTTATGGAGATTGTGATCAAAAGCTGGCTTTCTATTTCTTGCAAGCCCTCTTCTGTAAGGCCACGGATTCCGGCCAACGAAGTTACAAAACCCTAATTTCAGTAGCAGAAAAGAGCCACTCTTTTGATTCTGTCAGGAAATTGATACTGAAATTTCAAGAAGTGAGTCCTTGGACAACTTTTGGCCATGTTGCATCAAATGGGGCTATATTGGAAGCCTTAGAAGGTGAGAAAAAACTTCATATAATTGATATCAGCAACACTTTGTGTACTCAATGGCCAACTTTGTTGGAAGCCTTGGCCACAAGAAACGACGAAACGCCCCATCTAAAGCTTACTGTGGTTGTGACAACGAGCATCGTGGAATCCGTAATGAAGGAGGTAACTCCAAGGATGGAGAAGTTTGCAAGGTTAATGGGGGTGCCCTTTGAGTTTAGGGTAATGAATGGCCTAAATTTCTTGGGCGAGTTAACAAAGGACAGCCTAGGTGTTCAAGAAGATGAAGCTATTGCAGTAAATTGCATTGGAGCACTGAAAAGAGTTGATGTGGAAGAAAGAAGGGCTTTTATTCAAATGATCCAAAGTCTTAGGCCTAAAGTTGTGACTGTTGTGGAAGAAGAGGCTGATTTCTCAAGCTCAAGAAATGACTTCGTCAAATGCTTTGAAGAATGCCTTAGATTCTACACAATCTATTTTGATATGCTAGAAGAAAGCTTTGCACCTACAAGTAATGAGAGGTTGATGCTAGAGAGAGAGTGTTCAAGAAGCATAGTTAGTGTATTGGCTTGTGATGATGAAGTTGATTGCGCAGGAGACAGTGAGAGAAGAGAGAGAGGAAGCCAGTGGTCAGTGAAGCTCCGGGAGGCTTTTGTCCCGGTCGGATACAGCGATGATGTTGTCGATGATGTTAATGCACTTCTAAAGAGATACCGGACCGGATGGTCGCTTGTGCTACCTGCAGGAGCAGATGATGTAGGAATATACTTGACATGGAAAGAGGAACCTGTGGTATGGGCATCAGTATGGAAACCCTAATACCAGACATCAAGCATTTCCGGTTCTAATAGACCTTTTGTGGTTCGCCCCAACATTCCTCACTCATCGTGATTTATAGATGTCCCGATCGAGCTATTCTCAAATTTGATACAATGCCATATCGTTATAATTGAAGCTATAAATATATAGTAGTTGAGCTTTCCTAAAGTTTTCCTTGTGTTTTTCTTTTTCTGAATGATCAGCATGCTTGAATTCTTTCCATTGAAGTCCGTTATTTCTTCATACTTTTATGCTTGGGAGTTTGTGTTTCTTTTTCTTTTGCTTTTTTGCTATTCTTCTTGTTTGAAAGTGTTTGCACTTGTGTTACAAATCTTATATGCATAAACTTCTCTTTGCTGCATCCATTAACACGAGTTTTTTATTGGGTATTCAAAGTGGAATCACAGTAGATTTCCATTAATCCCACTTTTACTTTTTCTCCTGCACATTACATTATTTCACCCTTTAAGAGGTACAAAACGTCATGATGAGAATATCATACTGGAAACCAATTTTTTGTAATCCCACTTTTACTTTTTCTCCCGCACATTACATTATTTCACCCTTTAAGAGGTACAAATTGTCATGATGAGAATATCATACTGGAATCCAATTTTTTGACCATACTTGCCTAAAAATATAGGTAACTAATTGATGAAATTTTCGAAATTTTGGCCGTCAATGGAGTCGAAATTCTAAGGGAGTGGAATTTATGTCGAATTGTTGATCATATAGTTCTTCGAACAACATTTTATAAATGAACCGTAAAGCCCTGAATCATAAGTGGAAACATAGCATCTAAAGTTGCACTAGTGGATTATAAAGGTGTCTACTGGCAAGAGAACAAGTCATTTGAATAATAATTTAGAAAAAAAAAAGAAAAAAAGAAAGGGAAATACAATAAAAAATTGACAGCACTATATACAATTTGAGTGAAGAATCCTAATATGATGCTGTTGGAATTTTTAAAGTGTCGATTCATATTCGACTATCTGGATGCATTTCAGAAAATGGTCATAAGAAGACATCTATCTGATTATATGGTACATATACAGCAAAAACACCATTAATGACCAAGAGAAATTAATCTCAATAAAATAGTGTCTATGTATGCTCTAGCTGATCTTTACGTTCAATTAAATTTTCTTTTTAGAGTATTTCTTCGAATAATTTTGTGTTATACGTATTCATATGATACTAAAATTCACACCTGATGATGCCATTTATAAAGTATTACGAATGAAAAACTCGAATTCCGTTGTCAAAAAACCTTCAAATGAATTAAAAGACTGCTAACGAACTTAATCGACGATACTTTGTTTTGTATGCAGCTAAGTTTGAGGACTAATATTCTTGTATAATGGATCAAATTTGGGTTAAAACACTTTTTATTGGTAAAGTAATTATCAAAATTTGAGTCAATAAAGACATCGTGGAGTTTTTTTTTTTTTTTTTTTTTTTTTTTTTTTGTGTGATATTGCAGTAATATTGAGCTAGATAATTAATTTCTAAGCTCTTTTATATAATGCTTTATACATGAGAATTAAAAGATAAATAATTGATCTCGATTTCATGATGGTTGCTAGGCATAGCAAAAAATCTCTTTAGAAGTATGTAAAAAATAATTAAAGTAACATAAATTCCTAATCCTAGTTGACATGACATGACATAATCTTGCAAATAATTGCCAGGGATATATTAATACAATTATAAGGGATGGATATATATGACAAATGAAACGTACATATATAGTTTATAAGTGGTAGGAAGAATTATATGAGAAAAAAACACAATAGTTGTTGGCACAAAAAATTAGGGTCCCATGAAGGTTTGAGCATAAGTTGGTGGCAAGCAGAGGTACAGCATGTAGATCCCATACTTGCCTTTTGTCCATTGATGATTTGAATGGCATATTTGCCTTTGATCTTTAAGCACCAACATAAGAAAGTGGGAAGACACTTTTCTAGATTTAGATAACTTAGACAAGACTAATGTCGAGTTAGACAGTCTCTCTCTATCTCTAAACATTTAGAAGTGTTAATCAAGTTGTGTTGTAAAGCCGACATGATTAACGAGTCGAGTTGTATTGATATTAGCTTTAAAAAATTCGCAATTCAAGTTGGGCTTTTTATTTTTTATTTTTTTGAGCAAGTTGCTTCTTCTTGTAAATGGATTTTGATGAAAGGGCTTATAGTCTTAAGAAAAAAAAAAAGAAAAAAAAAAAAAGAAAAGGCTTCAAGGCTGGTTTGGCCGTTAAAAAAGTACAGTTCAACATTCAACTCTACACGTATCAATGCATGTATGGATGAATGAAATGACGAAAACAATACTTAGCATGTAAGCTAAGTTGATTGGTTAATATTGTGAAGATCCTGGCTAGACCGCTAAACTTGATAAGAGGGTTGAACTTAAATTAATGGTGATACCTTCCAAATTTACAGGTGTAAAAATTTGCAAGCTTATGCGAACTTTTACGCTGAAGAATGTATTTTAATCGATTAGAACACCAAGTCGAAATCATGAATTTCAACATTTATCCTCGTGTTACTTTCTTGTGCTTAATTCGTAATGTCATGTAATTAGAACATTTAGTCCCCATTTGTTTTCTATTTTTTCTCCATTAAAATGAAAAATATGATCGTTATCCTTCATATTAAGTCATCAAATTTGAATTTTTATCTCTTGTGTGGGGTCCGTAACGACTATATTTTTTCATTCTCATTCTTACAAAAATGAGAAACAAACATTATAGATCAAATATCCACAAGTCACTAAATTCTTTGTCCTTGAACTTGTTTCTTGTTTTTAAGTGGGTTCTTGACTCAACTTCAAGTGAGTCATTGCTCTTCATTTATTTTAATAATATTAAGTTACTTTTTATTGCTTTTCTCAAACGAATCACTCTGTCTGAGAAAATTTAGTTTGTCATGCTTGAAATGATGGCCTGTAAGAATGGCCCTTTTAGTAGAATGGCCTACAAATTTGGTCCATCCTTTTGGAATGATGGCCAAGACCACCTATCAACAAGCCCGTTATGCTCCTTTTTGGTGCAATGATTTAGACTAACTAATATAAAAGCCGATATCCACAATTCATGTACAACAGTACAAGGGTGCACGTTTATAAATTTCATAATTTTCATGCATGATGCATATTTCATTAAAAAGATGTAGCAGTTCAATATCAGTACATAGAATAACATTCTATTAATTGAATTAGATTTTAATTCAGATTTTCTGTTGAATCAAACCGGTCTAAGTATCAAATAAGCATGATAATTGTTGGAAAGTCTTAACCAATACGTTTGGACAAGAAGATGAGGAAGAAGACAAAAAGAACTGGCTTGAATCGCGAATAAACACTGTCCTAAAAGCATTAGCTGCTGGTACTTGTTGAATTTGTGAAGCTTTAGGAACTCCAAACAAATAGTTTAAGCAGATTTTTTCGAACCTTGAACAGAACTGCAAAAGCACAAATAAAATCCGGAAAAGGGAACAAAGAATCTTTAGAAAACAAATCTGAATTTAGGTTTTAGAAATTGATATACTTTGATTCGAGAACTTGGGATGTTTTTGTTATGATTTCTCATCAATTTAAATTAATCATAAAAAACTGAACCCATGGATGAATAGGCACATTTTCATGCAAAGAATGAAGAATTCCTTCCGCGAAACTGAGGGACAGAAAGCCCCCTTCTCCTACGTTTTCCTTCATCCAAAATCCCGGGTAGCTACAAGTTTTAAATCCACGATAAAATCCCACATCGAATAAAGATGGAAACAAAGGCTAACTTATAAAGTTTTGGACTACTCTTCTTAATAAATTTGATCTTTTAAGATGGAACCCCGAATCTTGACAATAAAAACTCTAGTTCTACTTATTACCCATAAATCTTACTTAGCGCTCTAAAAGTTCACGTGCTTATTCATTTTCATTCTTTTAAAAATAAATCCAACTTTCATTTGAAGCAGCACCACTTCTAAGTTCATATAGGTGAAGTTCTTGCAATGTCTTTGTTACATTTACAACACTTTACCAAGTACTTAACTTCAGTAAGTGCTGCAAACCATCCACTTATTGAATAATTTGTTGTTACCCTTTGAACTCACGAACTACTCATTTCGTAATGAGGTAGGATAGTCGTCATTGGTGAATTTTTATTTAAGGAGTTTCTACCGCATTCTACCCGATGTCTATCTTGATAACTCTCTAGTAAGAGGCTTTGTAAAGGGATTGGCAAAATTCTCGCTTGACCTCGCATAGGTAAAAGAAATTACTACATCATTTTTTCCCTTTACGTAATCATGTTTTAGACTCATATGTTTAGACTTTTCGTTGTAAGTTGTAAGTCTCACCGTTGAATTGAGCTAACGTAACTTGACTATCACATAACATCAAGATGGAGACTCATTCTTCAAATCCAACGAAACTTCGTATAGAAAATCTCGAACCCGCTCAGCTTCTTTCATGTTTATGCTAATGCAACAAATTCAAATTCCATTATCGAGTGTATGATTAAAGTTTGTTTCTTAGACCTCCGAGAAACTTTCCATCCTCCAAGAGTAAACACACAACTTGATGTTGACTTACTTTTACCGATACTCAATATCCAACTACCTAGTGTTGTTGTGTCCTTATAGAATAGTCGGGAATTTGGAATAATATAACTCAGGGATTTTGGTCATCTTTAAATAACCAAGAACCTACCACAGCCTTCCAATGTTGGCACTCGAGTTTCTAGTGAATCTTCTAAATTACTGCAAAAAAGACAATATCTTGTTTTGTACACTGTACTTGTACATAAGTCTATCGATTGCACTTGCATATGTGAGTTGTGAAGCAGCCATTCATCATTCTTTATAAGTTTGATATTCGTGGGGTAGTTGCCTATTTTATATTTAAATGTTTGAACTTATTTATCATATTCTAATAAAATGTGATTGCATTGATGAACCCCCCCCCCCCCAACTATTCTTGATCACTTTACTACGTAATTGTATTCATTTAACTAAGATCCTTCATTTGAACGTAAAATTTATAAATCGCTTTGTTTATTTTATATCATCCATGTGATTTCTTTTACACCATGTCTACATACAAGCACACAAATATATATGCATTACATGTCTTAATATGTAAACATTTATGTATCATTTTATGCACAAAACCAAAAGATATAAAAGCATCGTCAAATTTGTCACACCAGTTTTATGTGCTTGTAT